ACAACAACAACAACAGCACCAGCAACAGCAACAGCACCAGCACCAGCACCAGCACCAGCAACAACAGCAACAACAGCAACAACAGCAACAACAGCAACAACAACAACAACAACAACAACAACAACAACCACAACCAAGCGCGAGAGAGGGCCAATTTCCATTCTTGCCAGTGAGGCTCTGCGGACTCTCAATCTCCTCGGCTTGCTCAACCAGGGACTTGAGGACCTGCGGCTGTTCTCTTTGAGGGGGCGGGTGGGGGGGGGGGGNNGGGGGGGGGGGGGGGGGGGGTAGGAAGTTTAGGGGTTTCCGGGCTGTGGTCTGAGATAAGGAAGCGCATAGGTTTTTAGAAGGGTCATGGCATGAACTGGGAGTTTTTGAGCCAGATGCCTGCATAGCATCTGAATGTTCGAGATCCTGCAGGACTTGAAGGACCTCAGTTTCTGTCACAGTGCCCGACATCTGGTTGTCAAAGACGGTCAAAGTAAGCTCGAGGCATGTCCCATGTGAAGCGGAAAAGCGAGGGAGATGTTGGTGTTTACCCATCGGATCCGCCTGGCATGACTTCTTATCTAACCCGAACTGCTCTCACGCATGAAGGATTTCTGCAAAATCAGAGCCACACCTCATGAGGATGCCGATCTGTTCAGCTATCTTCTTGCCGACATCCCCGTGGCCACTTTCGAAAATTTTCCTTAGTCTCTAAGATGGGGTTCAGGGCTTAAGCAAGAGTTTGTGCTGGGATTTGGGGTTTATAGAAATTCAGGGTTTACAGGAATTCTCGGCTTCTGGGATTTCGGCTTGGATGGGCCAAACCTGGGGACATGCGTCCCCATCTCACTGCAGCCAAGCGTCTTGGAGGCATCAGCGATCAGGGCGTTTGGCTTGTCCACCATGTCGGCGTTGCTCTCAACGTCCTCTCCCCACAGCTGCAAGCACACATCAGAGCCACGCAGTCAGATGGATGAAGTGGACCAAATGACCAAATTCTAAAAAGCCCTGAATATCCCTTGAACATCTCCAAACCCTGAATCAAACACCCTGTCAGACCCCAAACCCCCTAAACCCCCGAATGACCTCCGAAACACAAAAAAGAGCCCTTCAACCCTATTTCCCCGTCAAAACACCCGAACTGGAGCCTTGAGGAGCTGCATCGCGATGGGCTCCGAGAGCCGGGCCACGTTCCGACCCACCTTCGCCAGGTCGATCTTCGTGCAAAGCCTGGGAGCTGAGGATAAGGCCCGGGCCTCAGGGCTTATAGGGATTTTCAGGGATGGATGGTTGCTTTTGAGTTTGGGGAGCTGAGGAAATTTCAGGGATGGATGGTTGTGGGGGTTGGGGTTTTGGGATTTCGGGTGCAGGGAAAGAGCTCCGCCAAGAAGCATTCCGGACTTGTTCAGCGACAGGATCTTGTTGTGAACAGCGGGGATCAGCTTCGGGGTTTCCGCCCAATCTGCCTCCTCTGGCGCTTAGGGGCTTTGGGGTTTAGGGTTTAGGTTAAGGAACCCTAAGAGGAACCGAAACCCCGAAAACCTCAACGCAGGGGTATTCTACCCCTAAACCCTATAAACCCCACAGTAAACCCTAAACCCTAAACCCCTAAACCCTAACCCCTAAACCCTAAACCCCTAAACCCCTAAACCCAAACCCTAAACCGTACATCGGGCCTCCTCTGCCTCTCCCTCCACTGCTTCCTCCCAGTCGCCTGCACCTTGGCTCCAGGCCTCCAGGGTCTCAATGATCATGAGAAGTATTCCCTAAGATAGCTAGGGTATCAAGTAGTGGTATTCCCCTGTGGTCTGCATACCATATATATATATATATATAGAGAGAGAGAGAGAAAGTTACAGTCTGATATACCACAAAATTCTACTCTACTTCTGTGCCTCTTCTTGGCCCTCCTCCTCTGCCTCCTCCTCGGGTTCCTCTCTGCTCTGGGCCTCCTCAGCAAAGGCATCTGCCGCCTGTCTTGGGGCTTTGGGGTTTTAGGGTTTATAGGGTTTATAGGGTTTAGGGGTTTAGGGGTTTAGGGTTTAGGGTTGGTTTGGGGGGATTTTAGGGTTCAGGGTTGAGGGCTCAGGGTTGAAATGCTTCGAACAGCCTGATTTTCGCGTCATGTCCACTGCATGTCAATGCATCCGTGGTCGTAGCTAGATTGGACAAATGAGCAGGCTCATCAAGATGTGCGATTGTGTACGGTGGCGCAATTGGGTTCATGTCGACTATCGATCCTGATTCGCTTGCCAGGGTTCTGTCCTTAAGATCTCGACTCTGTTTGCATGGTGTGGTCTGCCAGCGAGTCACTGGCATGGTTTCGGCTCCTTCGGAAGCTACATCTTGAGATTGTCCCGAACTCTCCGTTGCGATTACGGCCAAACTTACGTTTTCCGATTCAACCTCTGAGGTCAGGAACCGAGCGTAGATTCACACCTGCGACTGCGCTGTGCGACTTTGTCTCATTGACATTCGACCACCACTTCTACCGGAAGTTCTCACACACCTCTCGGCCCGTCGTGTCGTGCCACAGATCTGCTTGGTTCATCACGAAGTCTGGCCTCCTCATCCAGTTCTGCGGGTGGGGCCATCAGTGCCTAGCAGAACATACCCACAACATTTGTCCCCCAGAGCCATGGGACCCCAGATGACTACGTGGACTCCGGGAAAGGCTGAGCTAGGAGCCGACGCGGCGGCGACCACGAAGGTGGTCGGATCCTGGTGCGCCTCCTCAGCCTCCGCCAGCCCGTCTAAGACTTCCATGGCAGAGTCCAGGGGTATCTGGGCCAGCTGTCGAGCTACACCTCCCAGGCGCAACTCCGTGGCGAAGATGCTGGCATCATTCAGCTCCCGGATTCGGTCTGTTATCCTTTTGGAGAGCTTCACCGTCGCCATGGCGAAAGTCCTTCCTATTAGTGTTGTTACCTCAACAGCGGGTCAAAATCATGCATTCGCATGCTATCTGACAATACTCTCTGCATCCATACCACTGAGAACAGAAATGGTTTAGGTTGGTTTGCAACAGGCAAGCTCTGCAATGATTCAACTGGCATGATCCACAACCGGCTCTTGATGGAGATCTTAGAAGTGCGCCCGTGTTGATCAATGCCTTGCTACGAAAGGCTTCTATGCAATCTCGGCAGGACTGTCGTGCATCCTTTTTTTCCTGTGGAGAACATGTCACCGTCGACGCAACCAGGGAGGAACTTGCACAGCTTTTGCGGCGGGAGCCTGGGCAGAAGGCAAGAGGTCGAAAAGATTACATGGGCAACGGTAAAGACTGCGGCCGAACCTCTTCATTGCTGTAGCCAGCCGCTGCACCTAGCCAAGTCATAATCCGGAGGTACGCTCTGCTGGCCTTTGAAGCTTGCCTGCCGCAGAGCCTGCAGCAGCCGCTTTCGAAGGACGGGCTTCCTCTGCGTAGCTTGCGGATCATACTGCCAAGGGTTAATCTTAAAAAGGTGTTTAGGGGTTAGGGTTTAGGGGTTTAGGGGTTAGGGTTTAAGGGTTTATGGGGTTAGGGTTTAGGGGTTTAGGGGTTTGGGTTTAGGGGTTTTAGGGGTTAGGGTTTCCTTTATTCGACACTGCGAGCTTCGTGCCCCCGGTGAAGGAAGCCTCTCAACAGCTTGTGAAACTCGAACCGTCAAGTCCTTGTCAGAAACCATGCAGCGTCCCATCAATGAATCCAGCCAGTCATCCTGCCCATGAGAACTCTGAGCCGATCTCGGCAGGGCTTGTGCTATATGTTGAGTACATTACAAATTAATTCACCGTATGTTGCCTGTATCTTGTATGCATAATGTTTGCGTATACATGTGTATATATATATACATGTATCTCATATCATGGGATATACATCAGACCAGGTATCAGGCAGAAGCTCCTCCTCTTTGGCCGCCTCTTTCCGTGCCTTGACGTCCTGCGGTGGAGACCCCCCAGGCCCGAGCAAACAAAAGACACGAACAGTAAGTCAGTAGAGAACAAAGTGGAGCCCAACTTCAAAGGCTAGAGACCTGGAAGTTTAGGGGTTTGGGGGTTCAGGGTGTAGGGGTTCAGGCCCACATGGATTTAGGATGATTAGTGCTGGGAGTCCTTCTCCTTTACCTTAAGGGCATGAGGATCATGATGCTCCAACTTTCTGGGTTCTACAGAAGTAGAGACCAAGCCATCATGGCAGTCTCTCTGACGTCAATGCTACAGCCGCTGCTTGGGCCATGTGTCGTTTGGTACTATGGCTAGTAGTGGAGTCAGTTCCGGCTAAGTGGGGACTGCTCGAACTCTATGGAGCCGAACTTGTACTTCTGACTATACCTGGTGTCGAACGGATTTTAGGGGTTTGGGTTTGGGATTTTAGGGATGGTCGTCGTCGTCGTCGTCGTAGAAGTAGTAGTAGTAGTAGTAGTAGTAGTAGTAGTAGTAGCGGTAGCGGAAGTAGTTGTGGTTGTCCTACTGGTAAGAGAAGCAGTATTTAGTGGGAGTAGTGGGAATGGAGCTGGACTGGTAGTGGCACCACAAGTGGTAGTGACTGGTAGGAAGGGTTGGCTGATGCCAGAGATTTCCGCTCCGATACCGAATTTTCATGCTACGTTCGAAGCACTCCTTCTGAAGGAGGCGCAACGATGGTCCAAAGACGCGAAACCCAAACCGCTCAAAGCCTGAAAGCTCCTAAACTGCAAAATCCTAAAACTCTTCAAAACCCTAAACCCGAAACCGTTCTTAAACTCTTCAACCCTAAGCCTACAGCCAAAAAACTCTCCTAAACTCCTGCACCGCACTGCTCTGTTTCTATCCTCGCTGTCTGGTGGAGGGGGCGCCAGCGCAGGTGACATTCGACCCATCCTCGGAAGCCGCAGAACAAGTCTAAAGCTGCGGGTGAATGCTGCCATTCTGTAAGGAGGGGTACTCGGGAGGATGTGCATTTCTCGCCAGTTCCGGTGAAAAGGATTCGAGTTTCCTATTCGAAAGGATCCCTAGGCTTCGGCGTGCTCAAGTCAGATTAGAGTTTCGTGCTAGAAAGCGGCGACGTGTCCGGGAAGCTTTGATGGTAGGGTTCAGAACAACAAGAGCATGTTGTTTACTGGGAAGCCAGAGAATGGTAGGGTTCAGAACAACAAGAGCATGTTGTTTACTGGGAAGTCAGAGAAACTGCCTGAGTTTAGAGGTCTAGGGGTTTGCGGGTCAAGGTTTGGGGTCTTCGAAGATACAAAGGTTCCCTAAACCCTAAATGCGGTTGGATGGACGGACTCATCGCTGTGAGCAATTGCTCACCCTAGGCTGCTGAGGGATGCACAGCACACGGGTGCCATCAGCCGCCAGCGCCTCCGAGCAGGCTCGTAGGACCCTTTGTAGAGCTCAGCATGACTTTGGCCTTTGGGGCATAATAGAGCGGCCTTGGCCGTTTGCATAGGGTTTTGGGGCCCCTGATACTCTAATCATAATAAGGAACCCCCAAAATAGTATAGGTCATTATTAGGCCCCTAGATTAGGGTAAGTGACTTTGAAGACCTCCGAAGAAGAATCTGGACCAAGCCTTCATCAGCTTGTCGTGCCATTCTGGAAGCTTGACCTCCCTGCTTGCTGTAAAGCAGTGTATCCTGGCAGCTGCAAGATCATGTAGGGTCTAGGGCCGAGTCTAGGGTTGTCACGAGCCGCCCTAAAGCAAGTACTCCGACTCAAAAATATCTCGCCTCTGCTTTGAGCTGCCCTCGGAGACCAAGATGGTGAAGCCAACCTCAGTATGGAATCGAGTGCAGGTCTCCTGATATAGGGAGTTCTCTAAGTTAGGGTCCCCTATTAGGAACCCAAAAGATCCAAAAGAAGACGCGGCCTTTCTGTGCACCCCTGGGCGTGCGGGTTCATTTACACGGTTGGCCGTCCCGATCGGCTCGCTCTGCCCAACGCGCCGCGCCGGGCTGGCGGATCTGAGGCATCGCTCGCTGACGGGGTAAGGCGAATCAAGGCAATCCAAGTTTCTGGGTCACCTCATCGCTTAGTCCACCCACTTCGTGAGGTACGTGCTGCCCTTCAGCGCAGCATCCACCTGAGCCGTGCTCATGGCCTTGTACTTAGACAGGTCCTTGGGGTTCTCCCACTCGAAGAACTTGATGCCATCCTTGGTGACGGGCTCGCGGCCGAAGTGGCAATAAGCCGCCGTATCCTGGTACTTTGGCTCACGCAAAGCCAGGGACTGAGCAATGGCACCGGGGCGGCAGTCGAACTCGATCTTCAGCACCTTGTAGGGCCCCAACAAAAGGCACATACAAGTACACCAAGCTTAGGATAGGGATATTATAGATTACTGAAGCCCAGTAACTCCTTGTAACATGCTTATGCTCATGTGCGTTTTGGGGCCCCTACATTGGTGATGTCATCAACGGTAAGGCTGCCCTTCTCGCTGCCATAGGTCTCCACAAACAGGGACAAGGGCTTTGCCACCCCAATGGCATAGGACAGCTGCACCAGGCAGCGGGCGCTCAAGCCGCTGTTGACAACGGACTTGGCCATCTGGCGACAGATGTATGCAGCTGATCGGTCCACCTTGGTGGGGTCCTTGCCGGAGAAGGCACCACCACCATGGGCTCCCCAGCCTCCATACGTGTCCTCAGCCCATGGTAATGATGGCCAAGAGGTCAGATGTCACCAGCATGTCACAACACAAAAAAGCTGTAACAAACAGCGACATGTCTGGCTGAAGCAAGCCCCTCAAACAGGCCCAAGCAGCAATGATGATCTTCCGACCAGTCAAGCCTGCATCGCCCTGGGGCCCGCCGATGATGAACTTGCCGGAAGGGTTGATGTGCAGGTGTGTGTGGCTGCCATACAAGCTGATGGCCGGCTGGCCGTTCTTCAGCTTGATCGACTGAAGGGTCCGCTTGATAACTTTTTCTTCGATTTCCTTGTTCATCTGCTCCATGCTCGGTGCGACCATCTCGGCACCAGTGTAGCCAGCACACTCCTGGGTGCGCTTGGCCTTGGATGGCTCCGCATGCTGGGTGGAGATCACCACAGTGTGGATCTTCTTCGGCTCAACAGACCCATCCGGGTGCTGCATGTACTCGATGGTCACCTGCGTCTTGCCGTCAGGTCGCAGCCACCAGCACTCGCCGCTCTTGCGCACTTCTGTCAGGGTCTTGCCGAGCCTTGTGGCCATGGAGTGGGTCAGCGGCATGCAATCCGAAGTCTCATCGCTTGCATAACCGAACATGATTCCCTGGTCCCCAGCTCCCACATCCATCTCGTCCTTACCGACATGCACTCCGCCGGCAATGTCCGGGCTCTGCTTGTTGATGCGGACCAGCACCTCGCAGGTCTTGTGGCTCAGGCCCTTGCTGTCCACGCTGGAAAGATCATCCACAAAGCTGTCGAAGCCGATCTGCGCAACGACTCCACGGACCACCTTGTCGTAGTCCAGCTTTGCCCCTGTGGTGATCTCACCAGCCACCATGACCATGTTGTCCTTGGTGGCCGTCTCACAGGCCACCTTGCTTTTGGGGTCCACCTTCAGGCAGGCATCGAGCACGGCATCGGAGACCTGGTCGCAGATCTTGTCCGGGTGGCCTCAAGTGTATCAAAACACTCAAAGGGCAAAGACTTTCTCCGAACTCTGCCGCTCTAAGCATGGCTCTGCTTAAACATATCGGCCGCTCTTAGCCCGTCACCTTCGTTCACCGACTCGGAGGAGAAGAGGAAGGTGCGTGTAGTGCGAGCCTTCTTCTGTGCTGGCTCCGCCATGGCTGTCTGAGAGAGTGGACAATGGGGCGCACACAAAACTGCCAAAAGCTGCATCGTGCATGTGCTCGCATGCTGCAGAACTGCAAGATAACATTGCCGGCATCACACATCAAACGTGCGACTCACGATCGTCTATTTTGTCATACACCTTGAAGTTCTGACGGCCCAAACTGCTTTCGAAGAAAACGCTTGTCTTCGTTTGAGTCTTGACCGTTGCTTTCTGGACTGTCAGCCCAGAAACTGCACTGGTACACGTGTGTGAGACCTCCAAGGCGTGCCCAACTTATGAAAAGGACCCTCGAAAGGGACCCTAATTTAGAGAACTACCCAAAAAGTACCTCTTATAGATCCTTCTAAGGAACCCCTTTAGAAACCCTTGTAGGCCCCTTTAAGGAACCCTAGTTTAGATAGCTCACTCCCTTATAGTACCCTCATAGAAACCCTGCCTGTCGAGATCCCGGTAAGGAACCCTATAACAGGACCCAAAGGTTTCGAGATGAGCTCAGGTCCGCACGCCGTGCGCCTGGTGCTGGCATCTCGCAACTGTTTCCACCTCGCGGAATGTGATCTAACTACCCCTATCAGACCCTGGACGCCAAAACCCTAGACCCTAAACTCTAAACGCCGAAACTTTCAAACCCCAAACCCAAGACCCTAAACCCAAAACTTCAAACTCTGGACCAGTCACAAGAAACGCCTGGACACAGGCTGAGGACAGGGCTCGGCACTCGTTCACTCCAAGGGGTAGGCCTGGCTCCGGTTCCTCCGTTGTCTCTTTGGCCTCTTCGCAGAACAGAAGTGAGAGAATATGAGCAATACTACAAGAACAAATTGGCCTGGTAGACCAAAATGATATGAATATGAGCAATTCAATGCTATTAAGAACAAATCGGTAGAAGAATATGATATGAATATGAGCAATGCTATTAAGAACAAGTCGGTAGAAGAATATGATATGAATATGAGCAATACTATAAGAACAACTCGGTAGAACCATATGGAATAGAAGTGAGATAATATGAACAACACTATTAAGAACAACTCGGTAGAACAATAGGATATGAATAGAAATTCTTCTGAAGCAGCTGTGCTCTGATGTCTGAGCGCCTCGTCGTTGTCGCGCCCTTTCTTGTTCCTGCAGCTCCGTTTAGGGTTTAGGGTAGTTTAGGGTTTAGCATCGTGTGCAGAACTGTTGGGACCTTGAGTAGTGAGGCACAGGACACCAAGAACGTCCTCTTCTTGCCCTCGGTCTCGTCCAAATCCACACGCGAAACTGCCCCGCTGCTCTGGAGCTTGTCCACAGCAGCCTTTCAAGAGGTGCACGTCGAAAGAAGAAAAGCAAGAGGGCAGTATCTCAATTTTACCCCCAAGAAGAACCCCAACGGTGCCCTCATCAACACACCTGGAAAAAACAATATATACATTGGCCAAGACCCCAAAACTAACCCTGCTTCAAGTAGCCCTTTGTGGCAGTTGCCTGCACGGAAGGCAGAACATTCACTCGCTCGTCCTGGTCCACCCGCCTGAGTCCGAGCAGTACATCAAAATCACTCACGGAAGGCTTTTGGGGGCTGCGGGTTTCGGGTTGTAAGGGGCCGAGCACGATGAATCCACGCTGCCGTCCAGCTTGTTTGTCCTGCAATGGCTGCGACATCTTGGGGGCAGTACAAGGTCAAGAAATGGCAAGAGCAGTGTCCTTCTTCTTGCCTTTCTTGCCATCGAGGTCGTCAACGGCATGCTCTGCAAAAACAGTCTTCTGCAAGTTTGAGGCCAGGTATGTCCTTGGCATTGCTGAGCCAAGCAGGCCGAGCTTTGTGTTGCCTTCCGGGCTTCTGGCAGCTGCCTGGTGGGTAAATCGTCCTTTCGGCAACATGAGGCAGGGTTTGATTCATGATATCAGGCTTCGGCGGTTGAATATTTAGGCGTCCTTAAGGAAACTGGTGAGCGTATATGTGCGGTGTCCTTCTGGAAGTTCTAGTACAGATTCCAGTAATCAAGCCCCACTTCATGCCACACGCCTCTGGCCACATCCCAGACTTGAATTTCACCGCATATCACAAGCTGCTGCAGAAGTGACAGTCGAACATTCGAGATGCAGTCGGTCCTGTGAAGCAGTTAAAAGGCAACTTAGCCGAATCAAAAAGCTGCGGCAAAGCCGAGACCCCCTCTGATTCAGCCTCCGCTGGAAGTTAGAAGGATAGTTACAACGCCATGTAGCACACGTCGAGCGAAGCATCACGAATCAGGAAAAATCTGCACAAGTAACTGCAGACTAGAGATAAGACAAAAGCTCTTCATTCCGGCATGTGGTCCACCTCTCACCCTTGTGACACAAAGAATGTGACTCTGTCCTTTCCATCATTCTTGTTTGGAGGGACATCCCATGCTTCGGTCAAGATCAGCCTCAACCACAGCCCCTAAAGCCTAAGCCTCAACGCCAAGCCCCCAGCCGTAAGCCCTAAGCCCTAAACCCTCGAGCCTTTATGACTCATGCTCGGCCTTGGCGGGCCTGCCGTGCTGTATAGAACATTCGCACATGATAACACAATACATCTATCTCGAAGAACCCGAATTCACGACTCCCGAACCCTAAACCCTGGGCCCTAACCCTAAACCCCTATACCCTAAAGCCTAAAACCCTAAACCCCTAAACCCTAAACCCCTAAACCCTAAACCCCTATACCTCACACCCCAAGCCCTAAACCCCTAAACCTCTAAACACCTGAACCCCTAAACCCCAAACCCTAAACCTTAAACCTCTATATCCTAAACCCCCAAACCCTAAGCCCCTTAGACCCTTAAACCGTAAACCCTCAACCCTAAGCTCTAAACCCTAAACCCCAATATCCTAAACCCTAAACCCCAAACCCTAGGCCCCCTAAGCTCTAAACCCTAAGACCCGAAACTTGAGACCCTAAACCCCTAAACCCAAAATTCCTAAACCCCCAAACCCTAAACCCCACCCTTAAACCCTACATCATAAACCCAAAAACCCGAAACTTGAGACTTGAGACCGGCCTCGGGCTTGTCGCAGGTGAAGACCGTCTCGCGAGCCTCAACCCAGACCTGACTGAAAAGCCCAGGAGAAACAGCTGGGGTTTAGGGTTTAGGGGTTTAGGGGTTTAGGGTTTAGGGTTTTAGGGTTTAGGGGTGTAGGGTTTTTGTTTGTTTAAGGGCCTTTTGGAAGTTAGGGTTTAGGGTTTAAGGTTTAGGGTTTAGGGTTTGGGGTTTGGGGTTTAGGGTTTTAGGGGTTTAGGGGTTTAGGGTTTAGGGGTTTAGGGGTCTAGGGTTTCGGGCTTAAGGGGTTTAGGGTTTAGGGTAGCACACTATCATATGAATAATTTTGTTGTTGAGAAGAGCCATGAAAAGGGTTTAGGTCCAGTACCTAAGGGAACTAAAGGTTAACTTTTGGGATGATATAGGAATTCTACTGCCCGCAAGGGTCAAAGGCTACCCACTCTACTACCAAGGTTATGAACTCGTATGTGAAGATGAATAATGAATAGGACTCACAAAGCTTGCATGACAAACAATACTACGACAAATAAAAAGAGCAATAATTATGATAAGATCGGTAATTAAGTCTACGAATACTTATCTTACTGTTGATATTAATGCTAACCTAATTGTCAATAGCCTTTTTTTAATTATCATTACTCAATTTGTTTATACTTGTGCTCCTGAACCCCGAAATTGCACTGAAATTCCTAAACACTTGCACGTGCTGCGGATGCCTGTCGTCCATCGTGACCAACGTACCAGCCTCATGATGGTCACCGGAGAAGCGAAGGGAGTTTAGGGTTTTTGGGTTTATTTCGCTGCCCTCTGCACCTACAAAGACCATGACCCGTTCTGCAAGCTGACGCTTGAGGCGCTCGCTCATCGCGGTTGCTGCCTGGTGGGGAGTAATACGAATAGTCGTAATAACAATACGTACTAAACATAACAATAATACCACTAATAATGATACGAGTAGCACTAGTATGCAAAGCTAAACAGCAAGTTCCGAAATCAGAGTTCAAACCTCACCCGGCCGAGCCTTCCGTAATTCGCATCAGCCTGATTCCTTCCTGGGCACGGATGCGACAAGCACGGCCCAATGCAGCATCCTGGGAAAGACCCGGCCTTGTGACCTAATCTAGCCCGCCCGCGACACAAGCCCATGGAAGGGAGATGATTCAAAGTCTCTCGGGCCGAAGAACGCTCAAACAGAAGGCAGTCTCATGGCGAGTATTCCGATCCACGAGGACCTCTATGGGCATGCAAGCATTGAAAGCACTTCAGCGCCGAGAGCTTGGTTTAACCCGTGTCGGCCAAGCACTTCTTGATCGTGCACTGACCGCATGCGGTGTTGAATTCCTCCTGCTCTCCTACAGACTACAGTCGGGCGACAGTCGTCCGACAACAGTCTGACTAAAGCTACAGACTACAGTAATGACGGTAATGGTACGGCCTTGAAACCTGCTTGACAGACACATAGCAGCTAACCCAGAACGCTTCAGGTGCAAAGGAGCTTTTCAGGAGCCTGTCCGGTGTCTGTCAAAGCATTTCAGGCTGTTCCTCATCATCCATGTCTGCCTCGTTCTCCTCGTGACGCAGTGCTACAAGGAGCTCTTCGAACACGAAGTGGCGCTCTTGCGAAACACGCTCGATGCACCGTTGCAGCGTCATCCTTTTCCCGATGCACAGGTTGCTCCTGCTTGGGTTTAGTCCCACAAAAGCCGGTTCGCATTATCTGATTGAGATAAGCACTCTGCACTAGCTAAACTCCCCGAGTTCTCGGTAGAGGTAAAGTTCTCGGCACATACAGCCAAGTGCGTGCCTGCACTGAGAACGACTGCGCACTGAGCTTCAACAGGCTCATGCGAAGACTACACCGGAACACCGAAGCTGTTGCAACTGTGCCGCACCGGGCAGAATCAAGAAAAGGAAATGCGCGATTGTAAGTCTCGGGGGGTCGGGCTTGATTCTCGATGCGACGAGCATATGGCAACATCAGGATCTTTCTGTCCTGTCTTGCGGTGTCAAGGCCTGTACATTCAACACTGAATTTCAGTGAGCAGATCCCACGATGTGGGAACAACGACTGTGAATTCGGCTGCTACGCAGCCTTTACATATTCGCTCCAGCAGCTGCGACGTCTGTAAACATGAGCTGCTGCTAGAACACACTGAGGAGGGCCTGCCGTGACAGCAAAAGCATCGTGCCGCCGGGGACTAAACGGTATTGAACTGTTGAAGCTCCATGCTTGGAGGTTCATGGGTAGTTATAATTAGGGTTATAAGTAGGGTAACTATAATTATAACCCTATTAGGGGGACTTATAACCCCACTTATAACTACCCATGAACCTCCAAGTAAACTGTATTGAACTGTTGAAGCTCCATGGGGCACCTTAAGGCAGAACTTCTCATGGTCGATGTCCAGCGTAGGAGATTCCAGGCCACATCGACTCTCGGCAAAAGTGTCCTTGCTCTTGGGCGGTCCTGTCGCAAGGGCAGCACCTCCAAGTCCATATTCTCATACATTATAGTAGACCACATTATGTTAAAACATATTGTAGCATATTATCGCAAAAAATGGTATATCAAAATATGTTGTAGCATATTATGGCAAAATATATGGTGTATTGTAGTATGGCCTATTATGGTCGGCGGGCCTCCAGAACCCCAGAGCAGCAAAAGTAGCCCAGCGTTCCACGACAGGCATCGTGTCCTCGCAAGACGCAGAGCCCGGGACCGGTTTAGGGCTTAGGGTTTAGGAACCCTAAACCCTAAACCGGGCCCTAAACCCTAAACCCTCCAGTATCCTGGCTGGGCTGTCTTCCTCTGTGCCTCCCAAGGGCTGCTCAAAGCATGTCTCATAAGGCGAAGGCAGATGTAACGGACGCGCCTTCGCAGGCATCGAGGGGCTCTTCTAGTGCAGGTCGCCCTGAGCGCCCACAGCACTTTGAGATAAGCTGCCTTCGAAGCTACCAGCGTCTCGCCAGAAAAACGTCAAAAAACCCAACAGCCCTGCACCCAAAGCCCTTGAACGCTACAGCCCCGAAAACTCCTTGAAGGCCCGTACCTCTTGGGCGGAGAGGCCTAAAGCTTGAAAAAGCTCCTTGAAGATCCCAAACCCCAAACCCCACCCTTGCAAACCCTAAACCCTAAAGGGTTTAAGGTTTCGGGTTTAAGTTTAGGGTTCCAAACCCTACGCCCCAAACCCTAAACCCGAAAACCTGAAACCATGAACCCTGAACCCTGAACCCTAAACCTTAAACCCTAAACCCTAAACCCTAAACCCTTTGGCGGAGAGACCTCGTGCTTCCGGGCTCTCTGCCGGAAGCGGGCCGCTGCCCGGTGCCAGAGGCTCTGGCAGCGGCTGACCCTCGGCTTCTGCTCGCAGGGCCTCAAAAAGGGCTGAGAGGTTTAGGGTTTAGGGTTTAGGGTATCTAATAGAATATGTCATCCAATACATAAAACAGTACATGGCATATATATATATATATATATACGAAAAGACAGAATATAGTACTATATACTGCAAGCTTTGGAAATGGGGTGCATGGTGTATGGTTCTAGATTCTATAATGCTCCATGATAGGGCTTGAGGGGTTTAGAGTTACAAGTAGCAGGGCTTCGGGTTTTGGGAGTTCTAGGGTTTGAGGCTACCGGATGTTACGGGTGTTAGGGCTCTAGGGTTAAAGTAGTTTCCCTACTTCCTAGTCTTAGAAGCGATGTGGGAGTTTCCGAAAATAGGGGACCCTAATATAGTACCCTAAATAATAGGATCCTTATTGTAAGGACCCCAAAATAAGGTACCCTAATTCTTGGAAACTCCCATGTGTCTACCGAATTGATCTGCCATGCGGCCTCTCGATACCATTTCGCCTCAGACAAACTCTCGCACGCTTCGGCACCAGCATGAATTTCACGCTACTTGGAGGTTATAAGTGGAGTTATAAGTCCCCTAATATGGGTTATAGTTATGGTTACCCTACTTATAAACCTACTTATAGCTACCCATGAACCTCCAAGTACAGAATCGTCCGTGTAACGACTTGCAACAGGTATGCAGCAAGGGGGCTGCACGAGTGCTATACTTTTCTCTGATCGGCATGTCCTCTGGCACACCCTGCGCCTCCATGAACTTTTGGAATCGCTCGTTGCCTCAATAAATCTCGCCAGATCAAATTCCATGCCAGGAAACACACTGATGCATTTGCATGTATTTGTAAGCCCGTCCTTCTGATCACGCTTCTGATCTTAGCGTGTTGCAGGCGCGCGGGTATGCCATGCAGTTGCACGCATGCGCGCACACACACACACACACAACACTCGCGCACGCGCAAGCACGTATGCATTTGCGATGCTCTTTTGGAGCATTACAGTAGCTGTCTATGTATGTGGCTCTCGCCTCCGAGCTCCATCATCTTCAGATGAATGGGCTTCCAGGCATCCAGATACAGTGACTGAACGAAGCTTGTGGCCACGCCGAGGCTGCGGTGGACTCCGGAAGCTTCGATGCTGATGTAGGTACCATGGGACACGGATGCCCAGCAAGGCGCTACACCTCCACCTCGTGCATTCAAGGGGGCATTCCAGGTGGAACACAAACCGGGGTAAGCAGAAACGTGAGGCTCAATGAGGTATAGGCACCATCACAGCAAGTTTGGTTTGCCGACCGCCGCAGATGCTCGTCGAAAAAGGCATGCACGCTTGGGTCCACCATGGCTCTTGGATGCTTGTGCATGGGGCTCATTGCGGAAGGTTCAGGGCATGCCGTACCCTTGGCCTTGGACCCACCAAGCATACAAGACTCAGCATGACAGCCAATCTGTTTCAGTATACCCAGCACGTGAACACAGTCTCGAGACCCAGCCTCTCTGATGCGGGCAGACATTTTGGAAAGAAATCTCACCTGTTGCAAGGTTTCGGATGGCAGGTGGGCGCGGATAGGCTGGCAGACTCGTGGCGAGACCTTGATGAGGTCCCTGTTGCTTGAGGTGGCCCCATCCCTGGGCAAATGCAACAAATTACAGTAATAACAAGAAGAGACTACAAATAACAACAATACATACATATATCTATATATATATATATATCGTATATAAATATAGATGTATACATACTCTATGTATATGATCCTGATATACGAACAGCACGCTTCGGAACTCTTCGGGTCTGCTGCTGTTGTTGTCCAGGCTTCAGGCGGTGTCGATTTGGGCGCTTCTTCCACGCCCTGTCAGGAGCTCACTACGCGCGGAGATACGGAGCCGAAGCGGAGATCCGTCAAAGGCCTGGAGCAACTCCAAGTTCTCCGGCAGGGCGCTTTCGCAAGCGTCTGCCTGGCATGCGTATGCAGCCTGCTTGTAGTTGGTGTGCAGGAAAGGCTGCCGGAAAGGTCGAAAACCTGAAACCCTAAACCCCTAAACCCTAAACCCCTAAACCCCTAAACCCCATAAACCCTAAACCCTGCACCTCATCCTCCTCCAGGACGGAATCTTCGGAAAATGCTGAATGGTTGTTCAAGCCTCAAAGGACTGGCTCTGCAATCTGGGAAGAAAAAACAATAGGAATAATCATGATAGTAATAACAAGAATCATAATAACAGGTAATTTCATAGTTTCAATGGTATTAACAATAACAATAAGACTAATAATAAGAATAAGAACAAGAATGGGCAATCCAAGTTCGCCACTCATCCAGAGGCACTGCTTCGGGCCATCAGGGCCTTGTAAGAAGTGCCGCAGTGCGCTGGCATGGCGCTTGTCCAGCCGGGAATCCTCACTGGCACAGTACACATTGACGTTCCCTCGAAACACACAAGATCACGAGCAGCGTCCGGCTCGTCCAGCACCATAAAGGGCGGCAACGCATCTTGCATGCCTAGGCAGAGCGGGTGCGGCAGGCAAGTACGCCGGCAGCTGCAGCCGAGATTCCGTTCATGAATCCCGGCAGGGCAAAGAGCAGGCTCAGGGCGCAGATATCCCTGGGAAGTCAGCTGCTGCTGCACAAACCAGATCCCCGAAACTGCAAGCCCCACCTGGCCCCATCTGACAAACTTTTCAAAGGTGTGCCATAGCCGCACGCGGCGGCACCCCGCCGCACGGAGGTCAGTAGATCGAAGGAGCCATCTGGCTGACGTTGTAGTAGGGCCTGTCCTCCTTCGCCCCATTCCTGACACTACGTCCGGCAGGTAAACTACCCCATAGCGCAGCAGACGACATGGCTTCTTATAACTACCACAAGAACCTCGCTGGCCTCCAGTTTCTCATCCACGGGTTCGCGTGTCAGCTGCCTGTAGATCTCGTCCACGCGCCGCGAGAGCCAGGCTTCGGCACGCAGGACACCGGCTTCCACCCCAGGAGCCGTCCTGGAGAGGGTTTAGGGTTTAGGGACCTAAAGAGGCCGAGGCAAAGAGGTGAAGGTGAACATGGAGGTTTCTTGGATCCTGGCCTGGCCGTCTTGGCGGACTTGCGCTTCAGCAAGGGTCCAGAAGCCTGGATAGCCTGTGGATTCACTTAGGATACGGTGGATGAAGTTTCACACCAGTGATTTGCTAGACCATGTACAGGGCACAATGTCTGATACGGCAAAGCTTCGGCGCCCGCTTTCTCCAGCTCAGCCGGAATCATGGCCAGAAGAACAGTCGCACTCCGGCTGTCCATCAGACCAAACTGCGGGACTAGAAGATCGCCATCGGATGCCCTTGGTGCTGGCGGTACTGCAGAGTGTCAAGCTCGCTACAGTGCAGCAAAACCGAGATGGAACCTCAAGATCTGCAATGTAACTCGTGCATCAAAGGCTCAGGAGAGCCTGTGATAGCCATGCCTGGTATCCCGCTTCTGAGATCTCTACAAGCTCTTCGGCCTCCTGAGAAACCCAATTCGAGGTCATGTACGCCTCTTTGTCAGCCGAGTCCGGATGCTCACGGACTTCTCGCATCAACGTCACGGTGCCTGCTCAGAGAGGACAGCACCAGTCTTAAGGGGGCTTCGAAGAGCTACTGAAAGCCCTTTCCGAAGTATTTGGAGAAGCGAGCCTTGTCCATTTCCTGGTCGTTCCACGCGGAACTTGGCTGTCACCCTCGCGTACGTGGCAGCATCTCGCTTCCCTCTGCGGATGAAGCTGCGCAAGCCACGGTCGCAGCGTCTCCCGAGCAGGAAGCGAAGGGCATCCAGGATGGCGGATTTGCCGCTCGAGTTGCATCCCACGAGACACCGGACTGATTGACCCTCCAGGTTGATCTTCTTGCGCTTGAAGGACTTGAAGTCTTGTAGTTCCAAGCACAACAACTGGGCTCGTTTGGCTGCTTGCCACTTCGGCCCATCATCCGAATCCGCATTTTGGGCCGCCTGCGGCGATTTCGCAACCAGCGACAGCAACCTTAGCGTCCGAAGCCCAACCGAACACACAGGGCAGAGCGATTGCGTGCTTCCGAAGCGCTCTTTCAGGGTGTCACTGCCATGCGCCGGGGTCCACCCTTCGGTTATGGGAGCCATGGGAGCTTGAACTGCCGGAGCTGCATGGGCATCATCCACCCGCACTGCCGGCTGTCCTCCGAAGCTTGCAGGATGTCAACCACAAACAAGAGAGGCCCTTGAAGCCCTGTAGAAGTTGCATGTTGATACTACGGTGATTACATGCTTCTGGAGCCACGGCGTCCTTCATCCGGGAAAATTTCCGCCTCACCAAAAAACCGGGCTAAGCTGGAGTTCCGTGAGTTGGATGCTGGTGGCTGCTTTGTGGGTGCTGGCGGCACTTGTGGCGCTGCTTCACCAAGCAATTTCACTAAGCCGGCCAAGCTGGAACGCCTCGTGTCCATTGCTGGCATCTCACTGGGCGCTTTTCTCTTGGCAGGAACTGCGGTAGCCGTCGTAGCAGCTGCGTGCTTTGCATCGGCATCCTTTGCAGGCCCAGGGTTGCTGGGCTCTTCTTTGGGCTCCGGCTTTGGCTGCTTTGGCTCTGCCTGCGCTCCCTGCGGCCCCCCTGGCTGCGCAGGTGCATGCTTTGGTGCTTGCTTGACACGGCTGGCTTGTTTGGCATTGGGCAGCTTGATCTGGGGAAGCTGCACCTGAGGTATGCTGTTTACTGCCTTGCCTGGGGATGGTGGCGTGACCTCTTCCAGGTCATCGACACATATCACTGGATCCGCTATCACCGGCTCTGGCGAGGGCGGTTCCACAGGTTTGCTGACCCGTCGCTTCTTGAGCAGCATCTCCACATGCCCATGACCGAACTGCTTCGTGAAACGATGCTGAGCTCTTGTATTTGGGTATGACTCGAGTATGACTGTCCACGATCTGAATGTTGATTCTACTTTGCAAGCGGCAAGTCAGGACGTGCATAGGCTTCCTAGGCCATACATGATGCCGTCCAAGTTCCGTGTTGCCGTGTTCAAGGGCTTGGACCCATAGCTTCACTGCTGCAGCCAGGTCAGCGACACGGAAAGCCAGACCAAAGAGACATGGATCCGGGTCACGTGCATGCTATAGGGGACTTAGGTGCTGCCCGAAAGAGGCGTCGTAGACGGCATTGCTTCTCGGCATTTAACTGTGCCTCTTAATCTCATGCCTTTAAGAACCTCGGAGCTGTAAGGATGGCAAATGCTCTTGAGCTGCTGCCAAGTTACTCAACTCGGCAAGTAGCGCGGCTCCAAATTACGTGTCAGGCAGCCCCTTGGTCTGTCCAAGACTTCAAGTCTCGCCTCATTCGTCGCATGGGAGGATGGAGTGAGCACGAGGACAGAGAATTCACAGGCCACGGTCCCGACCGCAAGTCCACTGGATCCCTGCCTTCGACGACCAGGGCCGAATGATAAGGATGGAGCGGGCTGAAACAGACATTCAGATGTATGACATGTCAAGATGTGAATATGTGTGTTGGGGATTTGACAAATCGCCTGTCCCTTGATGCAGCACGATAAAGCACACAAGCCCCGCGATGCGGGCGGCCACCCGTCAATAAGCTGTTTTCCGATGTGAAACTCCTCGTGCAAGAGCCTTCGATGCATGCTCCTACGGTTGATGATATAAATCCTGCATTACCTTAAGGGCCCTAAACTACGGGACTTATGGTATATTCCTTATTATGGGTAATTAATGCAGGATCTATATCATCAATCGTACCTGTGCTTTGCACATTCCCGCGGCAACGTCTCAAACGACGCCCCCGGCAAAGCATCGCCGCTGTCACGGATAGCCATCAGGTCCTTGGTCGTGCTCGGAACCCAGTTGAAGGATGCTGTTATGTACCATGTACAGTGTGTATATATATATATATACATATACATATTATACATATAACATATTATATATATATGGTATATTAGTATACTGTATACAGTAGAGTATATGTTGTGCACTATATGGTCTACTACAAATGTTAAAGCCGAGGACATGCGGGAAGCTAGTGTATGTCAAGTGACTGTCTGCAGCCACTGCAGTTTCACCACCTCCAAGGCACCAAAAACTTGCACTCACTGCCCTTTGCCAACCCCTACACCCACTGCAGCACGAGCCTGTGACAGCGCTTTGGGCTTCTTCAGTGAGACTCAACCGGCATGCCAGGGCGACTGCGAAACACGTTGCAATGTCGCTTTGCTCATCAAGGCGTGCCGCTTCTTTGGCGGCGATAGTAGCTTCATCGATGAGCTGAATCTCATCCTCTGTCATGTCACAACGATCTGCGACGACCAGGGCTGCCTTGTTGGCTTCATCCAGCTGCTCGGACCGCGTAAGTGGTTGCTTCTGCTTTGCACTCGCTGCCGCAGCTGCTTGCGCGCCTGCAAATGTCGCTTGAATCAAAGGCCCCATGCCAAGCTTGGCAGCCGCCGCACCGGCGGCCTCTCCAGCATCCCGAGCTTGAAGAATCGCATCGCCGCCCACCTCGATTCTGCAAAGAAAGGGGTGACCTCCTCTTCTTCGTCTTATAAGTCTCTCATAGCTTCTGCCTTGTTTATTGCAGTCCAGTAGCCCGCTTCATGGCCCCGGCGGCAGCCTTCGCTGCTTCTATCGCACGCTCCCGAGCGGCAGCTACTTTGGAGGCAAAGACCCTCTTCTCCTCCTGATGGAAAGCAACCCCACAGCACTTCTCCGCAAGCATGCACGAGGTACTGCGAGCAAGTCCTGCTGTCGAAACTGAAGAGACAGCTCATCTTCCTGCTCCATGCGCTCGCGGTTCATGTCGAGCAGAAACCTCGGAAGGACCGGAATGGGAAACCTGATCAGATCGCTGTCCAGACAGCCAGGCGGCTTCAGATGCCTGTTCATTGCTGCAGAGGACTCATCCGCCTTCGCCATGGCCTTTATCTCAATTTGCGCCTTGGACCACTCCTGACAAAAGTAAACAAACGCAAACCCTAAAGGCCCAAACCCTAAACCCACAAACCCCTAAAGGCCTAAACCCTAAAACCCTGGAGCCCTAAAGCCCTGGAAAATTCAGAGCGAAAGAGAGCCGTCCTCGAAGGCGTAGCTCTCTTCGTCTGCACGCTTCATCTCCTCGGACTTCGGAACTGACCCTTTCTGTAATTTTCCTGGGGACGTGGTAGGGTCCTGCCAAACCAGTAGGCCACGGAAGCTTAGGGTACCTGGCTGCTTTGCCCTGTGTCGTCTTGTCACCTTCATCGCGATCACTTCAGGTGCCAACATCTGTTCGCCTTCATGGATGCATCATTGCCGCCACTCTCGTCTGCCCTCGGGGAATCCCCTAAACCCCACGTCCTAAGAATCGTCTGAAGATGCATCCATGGCTCTGGCGCCTCGCGGAGTACCACCTGCCGATGTCAGCTGTGCTTCGGATGTGCAATCTCGTGTTTAGGTTTTTATATAGGCTATTCAGTCTTTAAGAGATGTAGGGCTACATGTGATGCGCCTGGTACTCCTCTTCGAGACGCATCGCCAACCGCTCCCGAGACTCATTCTCTCTCTCGATTCGGAGCTCTTCTGCCAGGCGCGCCTGATTACGCGAATATGCTATGATTATATTATATGATATTATATTATAGTATATTGCAATTATTGTACTATACTATACTATACTATATGTTGGTATATCAGCAGGCAACTTCGAGGGTAGCCAGCACTCCTCGTTCCACTCGCGAATGCGATTTTGGCCATGCAAGCAGAGCTTGCGCTCTTTCTGCTGCAGCCGCTGGTCGTGGGAAGCCTCCAGCAACAAATCCTGAGTCCAAGCACTGTGTGCTGCCTGCTCTTTGAGCCATGAAAATATACTATCAGTATCAATTATATTGTAGTATATTATAGCAAGGTATGACAAACTGCTTGCTGAGGCTCTGCGAGACCGCTCTCGACCAACTCGAGCATGAAGTCTTCCCCAAAGGAGATTTCCAGCAGGACGCGCAAGGCCGAGGACCGGACGGTGCAGATCCTGGGTTGCTGTTAAGGAGCTTAGTTTTAGCTACCATAATGGGGACCATAATGGGGATATATATAAATACAAATAAATATATTAAGTAAAGTTACCTTCATGGGATCTATAGTAAGTAATAGGGTTTCCTTCTTAGAGTAGCTTCATATAAGGTCCCTAACAGCAGCCCAGGATCTCCGTTCTGGAAGCAGCCGCCAGGAGACTGTCTTTCATGGAAGGCCTCTCTTCTTCCTCCTGGGCTTTCTCCTCGGACTCCCTAAACCCTAAACCCTAAACCCCTAAACCCCAAACCACAAACCCTAAACCCTTCTCCTCGGACTCGGAAGTAGCCTTGCTTCCGGCTCTATTGCGCTTCCTGAAAGCATGGGGCTCTTCCTCCTCATCATCCTTCCGGGCTAAGAGCGATGGTTTAGGGTCTGTAGGGTTTAGGGCTTCTAGGGTTTATAGGGTTAGGGCTTATAGGGTTTAGGGTTTAGGGCTTATAGGGTTTATAGGGTTTAGGGCTTAATGGGGCCCCAGGCTTCTTAGCAGTGGCGCGAGAGGGATTTTAAAGGGGCTTTTAAATGCACAGCATACGAGGAGCACCCGAAAGCAGAAAACCAAGGTGGCCGCTACAAGTGGCTGATGAAATTCCTCAACCACGCCCCGGTGCCACCGAAAAGGCGGGGCAAATCACGTTGCTCTTCACATCTGGTATGGCTTTGGCGACTTAGCAGAGAACAGAGAAGGCTCACGAATGGCACTACGGACCAACTGAGAACCCATGAGTGCCCGGATGTGCGCCGATGTGTCTTTCGAGACCCCAGGACCCTAAACCCTAAACCCTAAACCCTCCAGGACCTCGGTGAGCCTCCTGGTCAGGTCCACGGAAACGTAGGCCCAGATGGGAGCTCGCATCTCAGGCTCTCGAGCAATGCCTGCGCTGCGGCTGACTGTGGGGACTGCGGGGAGGTGGTTTAGGGTTTAGGGTTTAGGGGTTTAGGGTCTTCTGGGCCAAGCACTGCCCCCCCTGTACCGGAATGGCCACTCAGGTCTGAATAGCTACATTGTTTTCAAATCTCTGTGTATTTCTGACGATTTCTGCCCCGTCCTGCGAGAGCTACCAGCGCTCTGGTGCGGACGGTGCTTGGCTGGGATCTGAGCGTGTTGGTGAAAAGATGCTCCCTGGAGGCCGCATCGTGCCAGACAAAGTGCGGACCTGTCGGCTGCCATGTCAAAGCTCCCAGCAAGCCTTACTTCCCCAATAAGCCAGGAAAATAAAAGAGGTTAAACTTTCAGATTGCTACATGCTATAAGAACCCAATTCCCCAAGTAAGCCAGGAACAAAAAAGGTTAAACTTTCAGACTGCTACTAAACTACAAAAAATACATAAAGTTTAAAGGTTGGGTATTGGAGAACTAAGAAGCCTAAAGCGCTTTCCCGGACGTCGGCTGGCTCCGTTGGCTCGATGCTCTCGCAGAGACTCCCCCATATACGAGTGTTGCCGAAGAAGAGCTCCGGGCTTTCACAGACGACAGCTGCACTCCAAAGGGCTCGGAAGACTTCGATCCGCTGCGCCGCTCCACGTCCTCTTCCAGCCGCCTGTCCCAAAAGGTTCCGGACGTCCTCAAACTCCTCCTTTTAAGGGTCGGTAGGAGGGACCCCTAGAAGAGACCCCTAATCCAAATACCAGATATAACCCTTATATACCCTTATATAGTCTCATACAGCCCCTCCTTTTGGAAGGACGCGACGGCCAGACCCGTGAGTGCCAACAGAGCCTTCTCTCGGACTTCGCCGGAAGACTCCTGCACCACTCGGACGAGCCTGCTTCGCACCTGTCCAAGTCAAACCTACATGGATCAAACCCCGGGCCAATACTTAGCATAAACCAATAGCAATAGATAGTGATTCTACGCGTGTATATATATATATATATACACATGATATACACACACAAGAGATACGAAATCACACCATATTCTTGCGTAATAAACGTCACCTAAACAGGGGCGAAATCTGGCCTCTTCGCAAAGCAAGAGGGCTTCGCAATTTCGGGCAGATGAGGTGAGATGCACGAAGACGGCCAAAGTGAGAATCTGGGCCAACTCTGGCTGGGAGTCCTCCAAGGACCAAAGAAGCACCTTCTGCACCTGGGCTTAGCTGATGAACTCAGACGGAACCGGAAGCCCTATAAGAAAAACCTTATACCCATGTAGCACTTCGTCGTCGTCTTACTAGCAGTAGTAGCAGTAGCAGTAGCAGTAGCAGTAGTAGTAGTAGTAGTAGTAGTAGTAGTAGCAGCAGTCGCAGTAGCAGTAGCAGTTATTGCGCAGCCACCGAGCCACCTCCTCGTCGCTCCAGAGGACCTCTCGCAAGCCAGTAGAAGCGACATCTCGCAGCTTAAGGAGGGCCAGCTTCCGATCCACGTGGATAGGAGGCTTTGTCGGCTTTCCCTTTGACTCCTCTTTCTCCTTCTTCTTCTTTTTGCCTCCAAAATCCAGGCAGAAGTCCAAACGAAACCAACAAAAGCTGCAGTAAGACTTGCGAGTACCATGTAGACTGTATGTGCGTCCGTTTGTATGTATGTGTGCATGCATGTAAGTACGCATGTACGTCGGTACAGTATCATTAAGATGTTCGCCCATTGCTTGGGCTTAGACGAGATCTTCTCCTAGGGTCTCTTGCTAGACATGGGTTTTAGCAGATCCGGCTTTGACCGGACTTGGCTTGGCGTGGCTTGGCGGTAAGAGCAGACACTCTAAAAAAAACTACGCATAGCAGCATATGAGCTCATATGCATGTACTTATGTACCGCATGATATCTATAGTAATCTGTGGTGGAATATCGCACAACCCAGTCCGTTGCGGGAAGGATTCTACGTAGCCTACACCAAAGTACCCCAAACTCTAAAACCATGAACCCTAAGCTGTAAACCCTAAAGTCCCATATTGCCGTTATAATTGATAACCTTGTAGGTCCCTTGAAGGAATCCGTAAAGGAGCCCTACATCCAGCAAAATCCCACAGAGAGACGCGGCCTCGAAGCGACTCCTTCGCCTCTGCGCGCAGCGACTCGAGCAGCTTCTCACGCTCATCACTCCGTGCCCAGCTGTTCATGGACAGAGAGATCAGACTACCAGGGGTTCTATCGAGTTTTTTTAGAGGGGGCTTCATGAGGGTCCTAACAAAGAGGGTTCTCATAGGTTAGACACCATGACTCCGTTGAGGGGCACTGCTTTGCCGATGGCCGTGAGGTGCCACTGGCTCTTTGGCTGTTCTTCACGAACATAATTAGTCCATGCTGACATGCCACATTCACGATTCCAGTGCGCTTGAGAAGGATGCGGGGCGAGGCGGCCGGAATGTTGGACAATGCCATGAAAACCCAGGCTGCGCCAGAGTGATAGCTCTACCTTTTCAATCGATGCGGAGTTCGTTAACACATCTACACATCTCCCAGCACCATCTTGGCCCATCGAACCGGAACTTGCTCAGAGCACACAAATGCCAAGATGGCAGCGGTGGAGATGGCTCGGGCGCTCGTGTGTTTCACAGTGCGCCCTGGCCCTCGTACAGTAACAGCCTTTAATAAGGGTACTATTCAGGGCCTTACATGTCCACATTATGCATATTATTGAACTGGCCCTCAAGCTTTCGAGGTTCTCAACCCTGAGGAAGAATCAGCGGGTCCTGCAGAGGAATACGTGCAAAAAGGGCAGTGGAGTGCAAGGCACGGGCTCCTGAACATTAGCTGATGCCGAGAGCTGGATGACCGGCGTTTGCTGGATCCACCTGGCATTGCTGTGACACGGTCGTCAGGACTCAGACCTCAAACCACATAGCTTCCCTCCGCGCCTGTACTTCCTGCGCAGATTCTGCAGGATGCCGTCCATGGCCTGCCCACCACAACCACGGCAGCGTCCACTGCATCTCCCTTCGGAATACAATGCAGCCACTTGGCACCAGCGCCTTGCTGTGCTGGGCCAAAGGCGTGTTCATTTGGCAGGCAGCCAGGCCCTGATGTACAAAGGCACATAAAGCCAGAAGTCACTATATATTTACTGGATTACGTATGTATGCCTGTGCGTATGTATGTATGTATGTATGTATGTATGTATGTATGTATGTATGTATGTAAGCATACACACACATTTATGTGTGTGTAGATGTTGAGTATCGTAGTAGTTTGTGCTCCTCCGAAGCATGATCAATATCATCGGCATATGCCATACTGGCAGGGCTTCCACAAGTTTGCATGCTACATCTGGACCGTTGCCCTTTGCTGTGGAAGGCTGAGTCCTCCAAGCCGAGTGTATGTACCGAAAGAGGGAGGGAGATCCGAAGTTCCGACTCCAGCCTTCACGAAGGCCCAGGTCGCGACGCCCTGGACCAACCTCTGGGGACGGGCTGCAAGGGGATTCGCATCTGAAAGGGGAAGTTAGGGTGGCGGACCCTTCGATCGGCAGCTCACAGCATGCCTCTGGCAAGATCCCCCCAGAAACTGCAGTGGCAGCAGGGGCGACGCTTCAACGAAAAGCCTGCCTGGTCGTTCTGACAGGCCGCAAAGCAGTAGCACCTGCAGGAAGGCCCACCTCGAGAACTTACAGGACGTTGAGTGGCCTCGGCCGAGTGGGCAAACCATGAGCAAACCCTTCACTTTTAGGGATCCCCAGGCATGTCAGAAGCAGCCGGGCCCGCCGCTTCCAAGGCACTTCCTGGCCGCACCTGGCAACCATGGCAATGTCGAAGGAAGAAGCGAGAGGAAGAAAAGCAGAAACTCGCGGCCCGGCCATAAACTGGAGCGAAAACGCGAACGCCGACACGGGTAGTAGATCACTCCAAAATTTAAGATCATGCCTTCCTGCCCTTCCTTCGAAGCTGAAGTTAAGGTCCACCCCCATCCATCCACCCATCCACCCACGTGATGGCTGGATTGACTTTGGGCCTCATCCCCACATGAGGTTTAGGGGCCTCATCACTCCGACTGTCTGTTCTACAAGGTTACGAGGTCCACGTTGGAAATTTGGTCGGCGATGTTCATTCAGTGAGTGATCTGTGCTCGACCCTTCTCTGATTCTGGGCCGTTGGGTTTCGGTTACTCACTGCGAACGGCTTCGAACGACTTCTGCAGCTTTCTTGTGTACCCCGTCAAGGTCGGCGGGGTTGCGAGAACATGTGCCTGCGCTGCGAGCCCGATTCCCTGCTCTGCTATACAAGACCATGTCAGACTAGACTATACTAGACTATGCGATGCTGTACTATAAAGTATCCTGTACCAACTCTACCATGTTTTCCGCCACGTGTAACCAAGGGTCAGCTGGCCTTGAGAATGCCGGCAGGAGACCCTGCGGGTGAAGCCAGCGACTCCTCCTTGATAGACGAGGGAGAAGTGTCTGGATGCCTGGAGCAGCTCTCGGAACACATCCGCTTTCGAGGCAAATGATACAGTATAATATAGTAGAATATACTGTAGACTATAGTATAATATAACATACTATAGTAAGATGCACTATATAGGATACTATACTGTTGTCTACTATCGGTATCGGCGGTAGGGCCAGGGCGAGCTCTGGCTCAAGGCTGGAAGTCCCAACCTCAGGGCGTCGGGAAGGCAGCAGCAAGTAAGGAAGGCCCTGGCCATGTCAACTCTTGCACTGCGCTACCGCGAATCCCAGAAAGGTGGAACATAGGTTTAATAGGTTTAGGAAGATTAGTGCTAGGATCCCTTATACTTTAATTGAAGGGCCTGAGGATATTAATGTTCCAACTTTCTGGCTTCTGCTGTAGGGTCAAGGCAATCGCTGTCTGGACATGTCGGACGTTGGAGGTGCGACCTTGGGCGGCAGTAAGCCTCCGGTCGGCTTGCAGAGGCCAAGCGTCGCCTGCTCGCTGGGCGGCTTGAGCTTCTTGAAGCGCGGAGGCCTCTGGCTTCTTTCTGCGTCAGAATGAGATACGCAGCCACGTACGTCACAAGCTGAGGCTTCTGCCCAGGACCCGGAGCCACACCCTGACCCACGTGATCTGATGGACGGAGGAGCGGAAGCACCGAGGACTGGCAGCAGTCGAAGATCACTGTTGCCTGGCATCAACAAGTCCAAGCTCATCCTTTCGGTCCGCTCCAGCTACTGCCTTGCAGCTCGATGACAGCGTGTGCAAGGCCGAAGTGATCAGCGACATGGGCACCAGACCTCCGTATGCAGTAATATCATACACTGTTATACTATGTATAGGAATATATAGACAGACCGCAGTACACCATAATCCATCATAGTATGGTGTGGCATAGCATAACCTGGTACAGTATACTACAGTGTAGGATGCTGAAGTAGTATAGTATATAGTATAGTACAGTACAGTATGGTATAGCACAATACAATACAGTACGGTCTAGTCTAGTTGTACCGTCTAGTAATGCATACCAAAAGTGCTGGGTCGGACAGGGCGGAGGACGCTCAGGGGCCAACGATAGCCCCCTGCGTCGGCTGCTCTTTGAGCCATCTCCGGTGACAGCTGGGAGCCCTTAGCCGGAAGTCCCCAGGACTTTGAACACATTCTAAATTTAAAGTTAGATATCTATATCTATATATATATAGAGAGAGAGAGAGATACGTGTGTGTGTATGCATATATATATATATACATATATATATACACACACACACGTCCGTTCAAAACATAAATATCAGTATCTAACATTCCACTATGCTACATTAGCTGACTCTGATGCTTCATCGGTGTAGTGGCTTTATGTTGCAGGCCCAGCTTCGGTCTTGCAGCAGCGCTCAACCTCACCTGCGATGTCCTGGTCATGTCGCACTGTGAAGAGCCGTGCAACGTAGATAGGTTTAGGAGTTTAGGGTTTAAGGTGTAGGGGATTGGACAAATTGAGGGATGCAGCTCCTCCGGCAGATCGTCTGCAAAGTCCGCAGGAACCAAATAGCCCTGCAGTGAAACCCCAACCCCAGCACTGCAAGCTGCAGCAAGCTCAGGACACTGTCCTCACTCAAATGCGAAACAACAGGCCTGGTATAAACCGTCTACTTCAGCGTCTGGCTGCTGCGTGCCATACCCGCTGAAGTACAAAAGCACATTGTCCTAAGTCAGAACTTCGATTCCATGTCTCTAGGAATTCGCATTGCCTGTATTATAATAGTCTTGCACTGATGTCAGCCTCATACGTCACCTAACATCATCTAACATCCTTGCAGAACGACTGGAACAGGCTTGCAACTCCGAGCTTTGTCATCATCACTCGTTTAGGGCTTCCGGGTCGGGGTTGGCACTTCTTCCACTGAGTGGTTGAGACTTTCCCGAAACAGATCAGAGGGATCTTGAAGAGCTTCGCTCAGACCGACTCAGACCTTTAAAGCATTGCGTCAACACTTCTTCAAGCAGGGTGTGAAGACCAATTTTGACCCCACTCCTCCAAGATTGACATGACCGAGTTTTGAAACAGTACAAGAGGGAGGAGAGAAGACCGACAGGAATCAATTTAAACAATGGTTCAAGGCGTGGGTCCTTTCTGGTCTGGGGCTTCAATTCCTGGTTTTGCGCCCGATTTAGGCTCTGCTTCTCTGTGCTGTGCAGTGTCCTGGCTTCCTCTACTTCTTGAGGATTAGTACCAAGGCTTCTGCTATTAGTACATAGTCTTTCTACTTCTTGATGTTGAAGTTGAAATCTCCCGTGCTCGGTCTCATAAACAGAACTGTCGCAAGAGCATCATAATATGACATAATGTCATATCATTTGTTATCTCCTATCATATGAAATGCGAGACGGAAAATATATATATATATATATGTATATATATATATATCACGATAAATGCAAATAAAATATAATATCATATAGCGTGGCAGTTGCTGCCTTTAGGGAAGGTCGTGGAGAAAATGAGAATGGCAAGATAGGTGTTGGTTTGAAACCTACTTCGTGCCTCAAACGCTCAGCAAACAACTGAAGAAACTCGACAACCGTAATGTAGGGGCCTTAACAATCAGAATGGGTTTTGGGGTATATAATACTATATAATAAAGAACCCCCAAAACAACATAGTCCAGGAAATTATTAAAGCCCCAATATTAGCGGCACTCGAAGAGGTGACTGCGACTCTTCTCATGGCAGCCCTGGGAGGCGGGCTCCCTGTTTGGCATTGCTGGTAAGCCACTGCAGCTCTGCAATGATGTTGTCCCTGTACACATGTTATCAAGTATTTTGTATCTGCGACGGGCTGAAAGAAGAGCACCTCGTGGGCCGTCGATTGCTAGGCGTTGAAGACGACTCAGCATAGTCAACTAAGCATCGGACCTGCACTGAGCAAACGGACCCACGAAAGGCTGCAAGACACTGCAACCGGCCTGAGCCTCTGTGTATTGCAACGACCTCTGGGACATGGCTTTTGATTGTGCGTGAGATTTCGGCCTGCTAGGAACCTTCTGAGCGCGCAACTGCCGCAACAAGCACTGGACATTCCAGGCATCATTGGCACATCCGCGTAGCGGGGCAAAGGATCCAGTGTAGTTGCAGCCTCCGGCGTGGCTTTGATGGCGAGAGGCCGCTGCAGCCCTTACCTTGCGGCCTTACTTGATAATCACAAAAAAAACGAACAAGTCTATAGGGCTTTAGGAATTTCACGCTCAAATGGCTTCCGCGGAGTTTGCCCGGAAACTCCAAGCTGGCCTATGACCAACGCACGCCGCTGCGCCGCGGCTTTCACAGACCTTGGGACAAGATGGGGCTTAGGGATCTTAGGGTTCTTAAACCCTAAACCCTAAACCCTAAACCCTAGGTGTTAAGTTTAGGGCCTAGGGTCTCCATGGGTCTCGCATGACTTTGGAGCTCGGGAGTTGCGAAGATGCCCGAACCCTGGCATCAGTTGGATTGATCCTAGAGGCTGGGGGCACGGCAGCGTGGGACCCATGGTGAGTGAACCGTGCAGAGCGGAGGGCACCGAACGGATACTGCCAGCAACTTCCTGAAGTCACTGCCCACAAACCGAAAGAGACAAACGCCTGGAGCTTGTGCAGGCACGTCCTCTGACTGTGCTTGCTGTTCGAGTTCTTGCAGCAGCTTCTCTTTGGAGGTCAGCTGATCCTGTCACTGGCAGAAGCGCACAGGGCCTGCTTGCAGCAGTCTACCCCCTTTAGATCCACCAAAGAGTACCTCGCTCTTATATGTAGGAATTTAGACAAACCCAATGACCACCCAAGACGTCTGTTGAGGGTTTCGGGTTTAGCGCCCTTATAGAAAGGACCCTAATTTAGAGAACCCTCCCGGGCCTGTAGTGCGGATGCTTTCTGCCTGAGAAGCCCCTCTGCCGCCTGAACTTGAAGTTGCGAGGCGATAGCCGGGCTCTCACTTGCCTCAGACAGCATACGATTTAGGGCTTCAGGGGTGAGGGGTTTCGGGTTTAGGCTATATCAAAAGGCTCCTCTATGTTTAGGGTACCCTAAACCCTCAACCCCTATGACACGAATCGAATTGAGCTGGCGGCCGCCTGCTTCCAGTGCAGCAGCTCATCCTCTAGCGGGTGCTGTAGCGACATCTTTGCATGAGGGGCCGTACTTCTAAATTCAGATGGGTAGTTCTCTAAATTAGGGTCCTTTTAAGGGCCCTTTTTTTTAATGAGGGTGCCGTCCTGTTTTGGGGACCTACAACGGGACGCTAATTTAGAGAACTATCCCAATCAAACCCTCGTTGTTATCTGGCATCTGGCCTCATGCGACTGCACTTTGGCGGTCACCCTCAAGGACTGCACCTGCCACAGCGGCGCACAGTGACGCGCCCTCTGACATGCAGCTGCCATGCAGCTGCCATGCAGCTGCCATGCAGCTGCTTGCAAAATCCTGCCTCTTTCGCCCAAGCTTGCAAATCTCCACTGAACTGCCCCATTGCTTGCTGCTGCACCAATACAATCTCCTGCAAGGACACAGCAAAAGCTCCAGAGATCCACCCTGGCAAATCTGTCCCTGCAACCAGAGTCAGAACATGAAAAGCATTCAGCAGTTGAGTTCATTCGGATTACCGCGTACAAGCCATGCCTTGACAGGGAAAGATGCCTCCTTCCGAATCCTTGATTTATCGAGGTCTGAAAAGTCTCAAAACAGTCCAGATTCGTCCAGACTTGTGTTTGATGGGGGTCTGGGCGTCTGTAGGCTTGAATCGGCACACCTCAGTTTATCACGACTGTGAGACCTGACTTCAACGGGTCGCATGATATAGGGGCCTAAATAATTACCTACATTATTTCGGGGGGCTCCTCATTATAATTATAATTACAGTATAAAGGGCCCCAAAACCCCATGCTAATTATTAAGGCCCCTATATTGAACTTTATTCTTGGGGGCTCCTTATTATAATTAAGTGAAGTATAACGAGCCCCAAAACCCTATTCTAATTACTAAGGCCCCTATTAATTACCTACATTATTCTTGGGGGCTCCTTATTATAATTACAGTATAAAGGGCCCCAAAACCCCATGCTAGTTACTAAGGCCCCTCTATTGAAGCGGGAAGTCTCCTTCTCCAGGTTGACCTTCTGACTCTCCGCCTGGCAAACGCAGCGCTGGTGTGACAGGGCTTCGGCAACAGTCCCTAAACCCTAAACCCTAAACCCTGAACCCTAGACCCCTAAACGACGACGGGCGAATTGCAAAAGAAGAAGCTCGGAAGAGTTTGAGCTGCACGAGCTTTAGGGTTTAGGGTTTAGGGCTTCATAGTTTCATAAGCAAATGTCGGGTTCAGGGGGAAAAACTGTAGTAGAAGCCGGAAAGTTGGAACATGATTTTCCTCATTCCAACTTTCTGGCTTCTACCATAGACTCTGAACCAGGTCCGTGCTTCAGGCCTCGTGCAAACCCAAGGCCAGCAAGTCAGACTCATCTTCAAGCGTCCTTATGTCCTGCAGACTGAGCTGGACAGGGCTGTGCTCGTTAAGGCACGTTACGGGTAGTACGGTAAGTACACGTACTTCCTGCTCGACTTCTTGCAACTTGGAGTAGAGCTCATTCCCCTGGCTGACCTGGCTTCTGGAAGTCGTTCGAAGCTGTCACTTGCATTTGCTCCCTTGCGGCCGACAGGGCCTGGGATTTCATCTGCTCCATCACAGACCGATACTCCTCCTTGCCACGGCTTTGATGTTGAAGACTGGAGTTGGGCGAAGAGGAATGCCTGAAGATGCTTCTGGTCTTTCTGCAAAGCCTCCACACAAGAACGGCTGCTGTAACCGACACTAGTCACCTCAAATCACGTTCACGTCAGGTTCCAAAGAATGGCTTTGCAGCTTCGCCTCGTACTTCATCTCAGCCTCGCGGCTTTCGTTCGAGGCCTTCTCACACATCAGAAGCAAAGGGCACGGCCAAAGGCGAAGCTTTCGGAAGCCAGCAAAACCCGAACAACCCTTTTCGAAAAGCATCTGGTCCTCTTGAAGAGAAGCTGCTCTCTGCGACAAGAGCTCCTGTTCCAGTTCGAATCAGTGCAGATCTGGGCCTCCGCTTGGTGAAGCAACTCTACAGTACACGATGCTCCGAGCTTTAGGGGGTTTCTATCCAAGCGGAATTCCAAGCATCGTTGCCCCAAATTCCCTGCCAGTCGAGAGTCCTTGAGAAGCTGCGACTTCCTGCTCTCGGCATCCTGACGGCGTGTGTGCCACTCCGGCCTGTGGCCTACAGCATGTCTTCGTGGAGAACTGGCCTCGGTGTGCTTGTCGCCTCAGGCTCTCAAGCGCATGCAGCAAGCGGAAGTTGTCTGCAATACGGGCTCCTTCGAGGGTTGAAGTTCGATTGCAGTTAAAGTTTATCACAGTGAAAACTGAAAACCCAACACCCAGCCGGTTACGATTGCAGAGAAGCCTTGCATTCAGCTTGGGGCAGCACCACCGTCAGTTGCAGGCAGGTCTGCCTTGCCACTTTCAACCTGTGGTAGTGCCAGCAGTGAATCTGATGGCTGGTGGCTTCGGGCATTGAGGTTCTGTCGAGCCTTCCTCAGAATCTCCTGCTGCTTGGTTTTCATCCCCTGCAACATGCGGCTCCCAACACCGCACGCAACCCGCGCGGTTTAACCATGTGGGTGGTTGTCAAAATTAGAGGCCCTTTTTGGGTCCGTATTATAATACGGCACCTATTATTTAGGGTACCCCAAAAGGGACCCTAATTTTGACAACCACCCATGTATTGGTTAGTTGCATCCGCGGCTCCTCTATTTTCTGCAGTAGAGATGCAGCTTCGGCTTCGTGGGTCTTCAATGCCTGCGGCCCACGAACCACAATGTACCATGCAACGTAACCTCCAATGTCGCCGCTGTGGCAAAGGCCCGAAACCACAACTACCCGAGGCATGGGCTTGTAGATCCTTGGCCATGGCATCCTGTCACCACTGACCCTCTCTGTCTTTTAGGAGTCCCGATGCCGTCGCTGCAAGAGGTCATTTAGAAAGATGCTGCGATTTCGTCCGTGTCTTCTTGGTTTTACAACAAGTCGACCTCACGGGCACGTCCTGGTGCAGCTCTTTCTTCGCATCCTCGATCTTCTGAAGGCTCCCAGCACGCACCTGTCTGTCAGGCACCATCTACATGCACGCCTGAAGCGAGAAGGAACCCGTCCTTTTCGAACTCCCGGCGTAGCTCTGCCAGACGCTCCTGTCCGCGAGAACTCGACGAGCGCGAGGCAGAACGTGTGCCTCCACAGGCTGCCGTCCTTCTCCACACTGCACGCCGCTGCGACAGCCTGAAGCACAGCAGCTGGACGAAATCCGAGTAAGACACCGAGACGACATACCACCTTCCACACTGATCATTGCAAGGTTTGAACAGCACATAACTCATTACCATACTTGAAACATCTACCCCCGTTACATCTTTTGACCACATCCCCTGCTGACTGCCTCATTCGGGCTTCACAATATGCTCAATGCCAAAGCTGGAAGCACAGACACATCACTTCTGAAGCCCCAAATCCTAAACGATGCTTCTCTCGTCCCTGATTGCTTAAACCTTTCGGGTTTAGGGTTTAGGGAACCCTAAACTCTAAGCCCAAAGCCCCCAACCCTAAGTTACCAGATCAGGGTCCTTGATTAGAGGGCCTCCTGCTTCAGCGCGAGCTCTGCGCGTCGCACCCGCAGCTCGCTGACCTCGGGTCTGGGGCTCTTGGGGTATTTTGGGTTTTTGGGGCTTTTGGGGTTTTTAGAGTTTTTGGGGCTCTTGTTGGGGTTTTAGAGATTTTTGGGGAAGTTTAGGCTTGGTAGGGTTGTGTAGAGCCTTTCACGGAGATGTTGAAATTCCTTGCGCCGGAAGTGTTTCGTTTGATGCCCGCTTCGAACGGTACTTGCTAACTGATGCTCCTCGGCATAGCGGGAACTGGCCGTGTCTTTAGTAATTCCTGAACTTGCATCTTTGTACAGCAACGTTGAGAACGTCGGCTTGCACAGCCATGTGCACATCGCATGCCGCTCATTGACCCCAACAATGAATTTCAGACGCCTGTGTATGGTGCATTTCTTGGGAACGGACCTGTTCCGCCACCTGCAGGGCTACTGCTGCAAACCGGCAGTACATCCGAGGGAGACCACCCCCCACACAAGGCCTTGAGCTCTGCATCTTTGGATGTTGATGCTCGGCTATGGTGCGCCTGATGAGCGGCTGGCATGGTGGACATCTGTTTCGTGTTGCGGTATTCTACAACACGCTACAAGAGACTACAATATACTGTGTGTACGACAACATACGACAATATACTACAATGTACTAAAGCAATGTACGACCATACATTATACTACGACATACTGTTATAATACACTGTTGTAGAAAAACAAACTGCTATAATGTACTATAACACTACACTATTAAAGTATGTTTGACCAGCTGGGCCTTCATGAACTTTTCATGCTCGGCCTTTTGCTCGCTCAGCGTGCTTTTCAGTGCCTGCGCCAGCACTTCCTGAGGAGCCGATTGCACGATCAAGCCAACAAGAGTGTAGCATGTTGTGACACATGATCGTATATTATGGCGCAATACCGTATATTGTAATATACGATCGTATATTCTAGCAGACCATAGTGTAAATAAAGATGTTCACTCTCCCAGCGTTGTCCTGTTGAGCCGCATCAGCCAGCAACGCCTCCAGCTCCTGGAAGAACAAAGACAAGCCGAGAAGCCGTCTCCCACACCCCCCGACATCCCAGGAACCGCTCTGCCCCCATCAAGCTCTGGCACACAAGCACATAATTGCTGGCTTCCACGATGCGGCTTCTTATTCCCCAGATGCGTGGCACTCTGCTTAAAGACTCTTGAACGGAGCCCTGGCCGGCAAGGCATAGGAATCCGCAACCTCTATACGTCAGAACCCTGCAGGAACCCTTCTAGAAGCCTCCATGCTTAATGCAAGGGTTGAAAGGAACCTACAAAACCCCCAACGGTCCCCTAAACCCTAAACCCCTAAACCCCTAAACCCTAAACCCCTAAACCCTAAACCCCTAAACCCTAAACGCCTAAACCCCTAAACCCTAAACCCCTAAACCCTAAACGTGCCAAGAGCGTCCTGGCGCTGCCGGTCGATCTGCTCTTCGGCCTGACGTGTCTTCCGTGCCTGGAGCAGAACTTGGAGGTTCATGGGTAGTTATAAGGTTCCGGTTAGGGATCAATAAGAGGGTTCTATAATAAGGGCTCTATAAGGGGTCCTATAAGAGATCTATAAGGGGTCATACTTGGAGGTTCATGGGTAGTGATAAATAGGGTTATAAAAGTAGAGTAACTATAATTGTAACCCATCTTAGGGGACTTACAACCCCACTTATAACTACCCATGAACCTCCAAGAAAGGAAGAGAGGAGCCTTCGTAAACGCGACCCCTGGTGAGATACATACCCATGGGCCGAAATAAGTGTGAATATTCCCCTGTAGTCCTTGTAGGGTTTAGGGTCTAGGATTCCCTATCAAACTTTAGAGTGTAGGGCTTAGGATTCCCTTATAGCCCTCTGTGTGTTAAGGGGCTACAAGGGGCTTAGGGACTTTGCTACTTCGCCCCGCCGGCCTCGCCCTTCGCCGTCGACTTGGCAGCATCCAAGGATGATCGGAGATCCAGAAGCATCCTTGGCTGGCTGAAGAGGTTTAGGGGTTCAGGGCTTCAGGGTTTAGCGAGTTAGGGGCTTGGGTTTGGAGTTTATTGCTTGGGGGTTTATTGTTTAGGGATTGGGGCTGAGGCTTTAGGAGTTTGGATCCAAGGGCTCCTTCATAAGGGTTCCAATAGGGTTCTACAAGGCTTAGCATCCTTCATCCGGCTGGGCTGAGACATGTAGGAATTCACCCTAAACCCTAAACTCTCAACCCCTAAACCCCTAAACCCCTAAACCCTAAACCCTAAACCCCTAAACCCCTTAACCCGTTAACCCCTAACCCCTAAACCCCTAAACCCCTAAACCCATAACCCCTAAACCCNNTAAACCCTAAACCCCCTAAACCTTCGACCAAGCCTCTGCTCCAGCTCGTCTTTCTTTTCCCGAGCCAGCCGAGCCTGGACCTTTCGAGCCAAAGGCCAGGCGACAACATCAAAAAAACCTTTGGGTTTAGGGTTGGGTTTAGGG